AAAAGATTCCAACTTCATTTGAAAGAACCAGTTCCCTAACCTGCCTTGTTTCAGTTGTTCTGAACTCAGAACATTCCGACTCTGGCCAATCTAATAAGAGCACACACAGCAGACAAGGAAAGGCAGGAAAACCAAAAGCCAGATGAATATTAATCATTAATAGGTAATCCCCAAACCAATATTTGGAAACCATTTGTTTACATTCTAGGTACTGTTCCACAATAAAGTGTGGATGCCTTTTTCTTTTTCAATGGAAAGAGGGATAGTGCGAACATAGGCATATTTTCAGGCAATTTTAGGAAATAAGTTGGAACTTACGGAAGTCGGGGAAGACCTTGGGAAATGTGTTCATGTGCTTTCAGCACTGAGAAGTCCATGAAGAAAGCAAAGTAAAAGAAAAGAAAAGAAAAAAAGATACAAGGAAAGAAACTCTTAAGACCACTAGCTGAAAAGCAAATTATTCATAATGTTCAAGGCAACATTGGTTGAAAGTAATTTACACTTTACAACATTTTGGGCAAAGTATGGAATTCCAGGTTAAAGAGCGAATCCTGCACCACTGAGCCTAAATATATCTCTCCTACAAAAGTTAGCTGGCTAACCAGACTTCCTGATTATGCTAGACACCAGAAAAGACTTGCAGGAAGTCAATACTGGCTAAGTTAATACTTTAATGTATTAAGGCCCCATAATGATAATAATGGCATATGAAAAAAGAAATTCTCCACTATTATGGGATTCATCCAAGTACCAAGTTCCAAAATAATCTCCACTGAAATATTTTGAGAAGTGGGAGGGGGGGTTCATGAAAAGAAGTGTCAGTGGCTAGGGCTAGGCTAAGGTAAGCGAGAGGTGTCCATGGTGCAAAATTAAGGAGATACTCACTCTCATGTGCCAATCTTGTGCTTGCACGAAATGAGCCTGAGGAAGAGTGCCTCCCTGGGCACCTGGCTTGCCTCACCCTACTGACCCTTGAATTATATCCAAGTAACAGTGACAATTACGATGCTCGATAGAATGCAGTTCTTGTATGCAAAGTACTTAATGCAACACTAATACATTAACTGCAACAAGTTAGAGCAAAATTTCAGAGAACAGCAATGAAAACAAGGGACTGTACTTAGGTGAGATATTCGGATGTCTCAGTGAACCAGCTTCCTCATTGTATGTAAGGTAGGAGTCAACAATTGCTCTTTTACTCCACAGGTTATTAACTTAAGAAATAACGTGTTTAGAAAACAATAAATTTGGGGTCACAAAACAGTAAAATGTAATCTTCCCACACAAGAGGACTTGGAGCAGAATTCTTCCTCTACGCTTTAAATTCTTTCATAATTAAATAAAAATAAATGAATTCAATATTCAAAACAAAATTTACAGGAAGTAAAACAAAGGGAAATAGGAAGTAAGAATGACAAAAGATAAAGCTAATATATTAGAAAATAAAAGACAAGATCTCTTAGAAATAAATAAATCATAAGTGGTCTAATGAAGAAGCAGAAAAAAAGCACACATGAATCATGTTAGAGGTACAAAAGAAGCTCAAACCTCAGCTACAGAAAAAATGAATATATCGTAAAAAGATAATTGATAAAACATAATTGATAATTATATTTTGCAAATATAATTTAAATTGTGTATAAAATGGATGGTCTTCCAAGATACCTTAAGTTGTCAAAACTGATGGAAGAAAATACAGAACCCCTTAACAGGCCCATACCAATGAGTAAATTAAGAACCTTATCAAAGAACTTTCCTCAAAGTAGCTTTAAGCCTGAATAAGTTTACAAACCAATGCTTTCAATCCCTCAGATAATAATAACAATGATAAAATTTCTGTTCTAGTTAATTTTTTCAGAGTACTGGGGAATAAGGAAAGTTTCCCTTTCGTTTTTTGAAATCAGCATAAGCCCCATATCTACATATGATACACACACGTACAGAGCCAGTCTCATATACCAATACAGCAGCCAAAGTCCTAAATAAACTATCAGTGAATCAAATCCTCTGGCTTATCGAAAGGATACTCAAGGAAGAGTCTGCTCAACATTAAGAACTATATTAATATAACTCATAATATTTAACAGTCAAAAGAGAAAAAGCAGATCATCTCATTGTTCAATAGATGTCAATAAGCTATTCAAGAAAAGCGAACTAACTCACATTAATGTTAGAAATGAATGTTAGAAAAGAATTGTTAAATCAGAAACAACTCTTTAGGATGGGGGAGATGGGTTAGAGATGCTTCCTATCAACTCAGAATGCATCTATTCTGAAGCCATTAGGAAAAGTGAATGGTAACTTTTTCAAACCATCAAATGGAGAAAGATAACTGAAGCGTCTCTGACACACATGTTATTTGTCAGGACTCAATCATAGCAGGTGCTCAGAAAGCCTAGAAGTGCTGAGCCATCATTCTTACCTTTACGACCGATGACAACCAATGCTTCCAGGGACTGGGTTTCTTAGGAAGCCCAAGCTCATTCATTTTGCTGTTTGGGAACTTACACTTTAATCCAAAAGCTGACAACACAGACTGTCCTGCTGCCTTCCTTCCTGCTCTGATGCTGGAGGGTCGGGCAAAGGAGGAGGCGAGAGACAATCAGGGAGCACATGAAAGTAGAGACCACGCCTCCTTCCCAACTGCTCCATTTGTCAGACCTAAGCTGAAAAGAGAGGAGAAACTTTGAAGTGGATGAAACACTGAATTTAAGTAAATGTTTTACTTTTTATATACACAAAAACGTACGAATCATAAATATACACTTTTCACAAAGTAAAAACACCCATGTGACTAGCACCCAAGTAATAGGTCATTACCAGCACCTCAGGAGCCTTGAAGTGCCCCTTCCACTCCTACTCGAGGGGAATTCCTAACTTGATTTTTAATAGGATAGATTAGTTTTGTCTGTTTTTGTTTTTTTTTAAACTATTTAAACTTCTTAAATAAGTTTTTTTGTCTTCTTTCATTTAAAATTGTGTTTATGAGATCCATCCATGGTGTTGTGTATTGTGGTCTATTTATTCTCATTGCTGTATGAATACACCATAATTTCTTTTTATTCATTGTTCTCTTGACAATTTGTTTGCTGTTGGGCTACTATAAGTAGTGCTCCTATGAACATTGTTGTACATCTTTTTCCAAATATCTATGTACATTTCTAAGTGAAAGGTCCAAGTCATTGGAATGTCTAAATTTAGCTTTAGGAGATATTGCTAAGAAGATATCCCCGAGTTCTGATTTATACTTACAGTCATAGGGTGTGAGAATTCCAGTTGCTCCACACCTTGCCAACGTTTGCTGTTTACCATCTTCTTTTATTTTGTCCTTTCTGTTAAGCATGTAGTGGTATCTCACTGTGGTGTTTTTTTTTTTTTTGGTGGTATGCGGGCCTCTCACTGTTGTGGCCTCTCCCGTTGCGGAGCACAGGCTCCGGACGCGCAGGCTCAGCGGCCATGGCTCACGGGCCTAGCTGTTCCGCGTTATGCGGGATCTTCCCGGACGGAGGCATGAACCCGTGTCCCCTACATCGGCAGGCGGACTCTCAACCACTGCGCCACCAGGGAAGCCCTCACTGTGGTTTTGATGTTCATTTATCTAATGTCTAAGGAAGTTGAGCACCGATTTATATGTTTATAGGCCACTTAGAATTTCTCTATTACGAAGTCTTTGTTCAAAATATTTGCCTATTGTGTTGACTGTTGGGTTTTTTTTTGCCTGTATTTAATTTGCCTATATTTAATTTAATTCATTTTACTACTCCTCTCGTTTTTTCTTCATTTTGTTTACTACAAACTCTCCTTCCTCTCTAAATTGTGAATACCCAGAAAACAGAGCCAGAGTGTTCTTATCTCAGTATCACCCTCATAGCCTGTCAATCTGTTTTCTTTAAAGCACCTGCTCAAAAATACCTGTTGATTTGCATTAGGAGAGTCTCTTTATCTGCTAAATTAGCTCAAGGCTTTAGTCTCTGTGGTTCTACTTGGCTTCTAAACATGCCAAGAATTTCTCCTCTGGAATAGTTGCAGCAAAACTGACATAAGCTCTCTGTGTAGAGACAACCTAGAGGATGTGTTTTAAGGGTTAGGAGACAGAATTAATTCCTGTTGGGGTTGATGATGACTATCTGAGAATCTTGGGCAAATAAGGAAAATCTGAAGAAGGTCAAATGATCTTTTTCAATCCTAAAAAGGAATTTCTCTGGTGTGTGATATTGTTCCATGATTTCTTCCATCTTGTTATACCTTCAGTATTCTTCTCCATTTAAGTCTTCATTTCATTTGAAAATGCCTCTGTCATCTTCCTCTAATTTTCATTCTACGGACCAAACTATCTCAATGTCTCTTCTAGAACTGCCCATATTGCTTCCCTTCACATCCATTCTTTTTACATTGTAAGCTTTGCAATTCTATCTTCTCTCTCCCATGATTTTCAATTAGCCTAATTTAATCTTCTCCTTGTCATTTCCTGGTTGTTAATCTCCTGGAAATTAGCTAGTATAAATAAATATCTATTTTGCCTGATGGAAATAATCCTAATGTAAATAATTTTTAAATGGCCCATTTAATTTTAGCATGTGAATTTTAATAGAATGTAACCACATAAATAAACATCCATGTTTCTCAATGTATAAAAATGTTAATGCTGTGGATTACAGCCTTAAAATTCTGTGCTGAGCTCTAGAACATACAACTCTGGTTCTAGTAGATCTTCTCTGTGTCTATAATCGCCCTCGTGAAGGTACTTATCAGTGATTATTTTCACACAGCTTTTTATCTAGTTTCTTACAAAAAGGAAAATTCAAAGGCAACAGGAATTGATGTTTCAAGTTTGTCTAGCAGTTTGTCAACCCTGGCTGCATGTTAGAAATCCTGGGGAGTGTCTAAAAATTAGTGATATCTGGGCTTTATCCCAGACCAATTCATTCAGAATCTCTTGAGTAGAGCCCGTTCATCTGTATGTTTTAGAAACTCCCCAGGGAAATCTAACATGTAACCGAAATTGAAAACTGCTGAGCCTATGGCCAAGAATATGAAAAAAGAATGATGATAAGTAAAAAATGTTGAAAAAGTTAATGGTCAGTACTACATTTAAGTCTGCAACTATATCCTCAGAGACGGCTAAGAGTCCTCTCTTTGGCCCAGTGCTGGATTTCTGCTTGTCCAAATGTGAGGTAAAAAACCAGGCCAAACATGTTGACAGCAGCAGCAAGGAAAAAGACATTCCTCCATCCAGACACAGAATCCTGGAGGAAAAAAAAAAAATACACAGAATTATCAGCCTCACAGTTCCTTCTCCACTAGTTCTAGGAATCCTCCATTTTGTATATTGCAACACTGATCACAAAGAATCTAGGGAACAATATGCAATAACCACTGAGCACCTTGAATTCTCAAAGAAGGTTTTATGAAACTGACGGAAACAAGAGGATGCTAAAATGAACACTGGGTTCTGGCTTGGATGAGCTTTTCTTTAAACCCAAATAAATTAACCTACACTAATGTTTTTCTAGAAATTTGGATCTCAACATTCTTGAAAATATCATTATTACTCATTTTAAATTATGCCTAAAACAACAGCTTTAAGATTTTCACTCTTGTGCTCTCTCTGATTTGTTTTGTTTTTGACTGTTGACATCAATCACACCAACCCCCTGGATGGACATCTCAATATGATGTGAGTTACATTTGGTCTGACTGTATGATTTCCCTCATCCAGCCCTTGTAAGTCACAGTTCATTTCTGGCATTATAGTCAAAGTGGATTCCTAGCAATTTGGTCAAAATCAACCTGAAAATAGATCACCTAGAGATGTATTGAAAACAAAACAAATCTTCTTCTGTAAGTTGGCTCATGTCATCCTGCCATCCCAGCCTGGTTCTGCCTTTCCATCCTCCCTACCAGACCACACTTGGTACTGAGCAAGCCTCACGGGCTATGCTCCGTGCTTTGTGTCACAGCCTTTCTCTTTCCACCCAAAATTTAACCTCCCTTCAAGCTGGCTTTGGGACCCTTTGGGTTTCCATTTTGTGATTTTTTTTTTTTAGAAATTGGAATTAATCTGAACAGACTGTTCATAATCTTCCCCTTCTGATCCTGTGTCTTCATCTCTTATCCTTGACATGTATCATTCACTCTGGTCATAACTAAGAGCTGTTTCATACTTTTGTTCCTCTAGGAAGTCATATGTGCTATTTTCTCTGCCTGAACTGCTCATTTTCATTAATCTAATACCTATTCATTTTTAGAAATTCAGCTTTTACTTCTCTTTCCCTGGGAAATGTGAACCACCAGACTCTGATTTAGAGTCCCCTAAGAATAGAGTAATTGTGTTGGCATCCAGGCTTATTTTCCCCATCAGACCATACAATCCTTGCGAACAGAGGCCCTGTTGTGAATCCCCAGTGCCTAAAACAATACCTGCCACTTGCAGATGTTCAATAAACTGGCCCAACCTGACTGATAAGGAATCCGGTGGCAGTGGAAGAGATGATTCCTGCGATGAGCCCAAATCCCCTTGAGATTCCCATGAGGAAACTTGCATACCTGCGGGGAGATGATTTTATATAGAAAGCTGCCTATCACTCTTCAGCAACTCAGTTTTAATGCAGTTCAGCTTTAATAGCAAAGTCATTTAGCCTAACGCAGTTTTTTTCTGTTCACTTCAAGATAGTTAGGGCAATGTCTGTTTGCCAAACCTGAAATCACCTATCCGCCGACTCAACAACTAGGAAACAATTCTGTCTCTCAGGAGCCCAGGTTCCCACCCCAGCATCTCAGCATGGCAGGCAGTTTGCGCAGTGGATGAGACAACATACACTGGACAAACATACACTGGACAGACGGCCTGGGTCCAAATCCTGGCTCTGCCTTTGTGTGACCTCAGGCATGTCACTTAAACTTCTTGTGCCTCAATCATCTCCCTCATAAAGTAAGAATAACAATAGGACATGTAGTTATGCAGACCAGATGTGTTGATACATGAGAAGTCCTTTGAATAGGATCTGGCTCAGGACAGGTGTATACATATGTGGTAGCTAATATCATCAACACTCTGGAAGCTTTTCCAAAACACGTGTGTGGGTCCTTTCCCAGAACACACAGTCTAATCTCTAGTGGAGAAGCTAAGGAAGTTTCATTTACTTGTTACTGGCCAAGATTGGGCACTGTTTTTCTAAAAACACCTTAGGTCATGGCCACATACTGACATTTCTAGTTATTTTTTATTACTCTGCCATCATTTTGTGCATGTCAACAACAGGAAGCAGTTGCAAGAAGACTGAGGCCTAAGCCTCCGGAAGGGCCTGGGGGAGGGGAACAAACAGGTCAAATCTTACCGGGGAGCGACATCTAAGGTGTTGATGATGAATCCTGAATCACACAGGTTGCTGGTCCCAGGAATAAGTATCAGCAAAATAATAGTTGTTGTGTAACTGGAAGCCACAAAAGGCAGGGCAACAGCACACAGTGATGGAAGGAGGAGCCCTGGGCAATGGGGACACACCATCAGGAAACTTCTCTGACCATGTGTGGATAAAGGGATTGGTTAACCGAGTCCCCGCATCCTTACCTAGGGATGAAAAGAGTTTTCGGACGGTGATTAATCTGAGAAGATTCCTGGACAGGAGGAAATCTGCCAACTGACCTCCTAGAATCGTACAACTTGAGGCAGCAATAAAAGGCAGGGAGGACAGAACACCACTCTGAAGGGAGGAAATGTATACAGTAAGTAGTTACAGAGGCGCATATGGTACCAGAGTTTATCAGTTACACAGAGCAACCATTAGCCCACCCTCCTGACACTTGGAGTTGCTTTAAGGAAATTAGCATCCTTTTCCACATGAGGAGAACAATTTCTCAGGTAAGAGAGCCAGAACTTGCATTACACTGGTCTCCAGAGAAAAGCACTATTCATTTCTAAGGGAAATTGAAGCATCAGCTAGTATGGCAGCATTGCATAGTGGTTAAGAACACAGATACTGCAGCAGCTCTACCACTCAGTAATTGTGTAATCCAGGGCAAGTCATCTCCCCTCTGTGTCCCCATTTCTACACCTGTGCAATGGAAATCATTACAATGTCTCTCAATCATTGTGAGGGTTACATGAGTGGTTATGTGTAAAGTCAGAAAGTAGTAGGCAGCACAGAACTGTTTCTTCTTATTGCCATTATCATGTTCATAGAAGTACAGGAAGCATACTCACATCTCTGATGTTGACATGGAGCACAGAACTGATGTACGTTGGTAGATAAGTTATGATTATGGTGCATAACCAGAAATGGCTGAAAAAACCCGTGAAGATGGCCCAAAGTGGTAGGCATCTGACCATAGCCTTTATGGGGACAGATCGTCTAGGAGAACTGGACTGAAAGGAAATATCTAATCAGTATGGGTATTAGAACAGGACAGAGGATGCCTCTCCTGAGAGCCCCACACCCTACCCTGGAGATCTCTGCATGGCCCACAGGTAGAAGGGCTGCACTGTACCTGTTGAGCCAGTGAAGACACGATGTGGTCCTTTTCCCTGACGCTTATGCATGGGTGATGCATGGGGTCATCATAAATCACCATGAACCACAGGAGACAGCAGACACAGCCAATGCTACCTGGGAAGCTGGGATCCAATTAGTTTTCAGGTAGATTTGTGTGCTAGGGGAAGGGAGTTTCCTCTGAAGTAGCACACATCACCCCAAGACACACATATCAATTCATGGTTGTTCCACCATCATGACCTAAAGTTTCCCACTTCTTCATCTCAACTCATCTACAAATCGCCTTTTGACTAAATGTAGAGTGCCACTTGTCAATGTCAGAGCCCTCTCAACAGAGCAGAAGCATGAACGTACCACTGTATAGCTGATTAGTTACTCTTCAGACTCCAGTGAATATATCGTGGTGTGTCGTTAGCAACAACTTCTTAATACACACATTACTGTCTTATTTTAGAAGATCTGAATAGTCAGGATTGAAGAGAAAAGTATTCATCCATATACAAAACAACCTGCCATAAAATGAGTGTGGCAAGGAAATTTTTCCAACACATTTGCAAAAGACGGTGTTATTTGTATTCAAACAATACATCCATTATGGATTTCCAGAAAAATATTTCTTGACAGTACCTGATCAACATGTGTGGACAAAAATGACCTGGGATTAGCATCATTAATGAGAAAGCCGTCCTAGCTGGAACCATATTGAGAATAGAAACTTGTCTCATTGCTGAGATTTGTCACCTGAAGAGGTTCTATGTTAAAAGACTCTGTGGACTAATGTTCTTTAAATTTCCTCTAATTACTGGATTTATCCATTCTTTTATTTATAAAGCTATAAGTCAGGCACTATGATAGTACCAAAGTGATAAAAAAAATATGGAATGAATTTCTTGCCTCAGTCATTTCATAATCTAGTGGAAAGGGAGAAGGGGAAATAAATAATTACATGCTAACACAGCCTAGAAAAATTATCAGTAAGCATCATAGAGGACAGAAAGACTTAATCTGATGGGATAAGTCTTGGTAGTCCCCATAGGGAGGTGTACATTTAATTTGAGCTTTGCATGATTCACCTGGTAGAAAATAGGTTAAGGGCATCTTGGCAGAAATAATAATTATAATAAAATATGAAGACATATTGAAAATGTGCTTCACCAGCTCTGACATATTAACCACATAGAGCAACTAGACCTGGTGTTTCAGATGTGGTGGCAGAGATTCTACAGAAGATGCCTGGGGTGGGTGTGTAAGGCTACACTCCTGATTTCTCAGAAGTCAGCACCATGCACATGGTCATCTCTTAGACTAGACTAAGAAATCTACCAATCCTCAACATTCTTTGTCATCTCCCATTTAACAATGGACATTTTCTCTCAAATGGGAAGAATGTGGGCGATAGGTAATGTAAGCATAAAAACAAATGCCTGGGAAGTGGAGGTGTTAGGAGTTAAGAGAAAGTGACTCACCAAAGATGTAGAAGATAAAAGGCCAGCCCAATGTCTGTGAGATTAGTCCCCCCACGCAGAGGATGATGAAGGACCCAAATGCTGCCCCTGAAGAGAAGAGGGATAAAAAACACTGAGGAAAATAGCAAAGGTTGAGACTGAGTGACTTCCCTGGATGTTGTCCCAACAAAGAGGTGGCAGACTTAGCATTGCTGGGTGATGAGAGTCTTTCTTCCAGCTCACAGATCTCCCCCAATAAAGTCATGAGAAGTAATTAGAAATAATCAATAATAACAATATGCCACCTGACACTTCAACGGCTCCTTAACTCCAATGTGACCAAATACAAATCCCTTTGCTTGTCATAGAAACTCTCTGCAAACATAGCCCACCAGTATTTCCTTATAATTAGAGTTACATTCTGGCAGGGGCAATATGAAGTTGGCAACAGAAAAGGAAACTGTTACAAAAACTAATAAGATAAAGTCCTTGACCTCAAGGGGATTTCAGCCCAGCTGCAGAGAAAAACGTGAACAAAATTCACTATTATATGTGTAATAAAATGTAGACCTTGGAGTCTGAACATATTTTTCAGAGACCCATAATAAGAAATGTATCTTTCATGGCAACACAACATATACACAAATACACACACACATACACACACACACACACTTCAAACAAGAGTTTCATGAATCAATACTTAGTCTTACCGTGTGCAATTCACTCCCAAAATTTCCATTCTATTCTATTCACTTTCATTTTAAAAATACTGGCTTTGACCTACTTAATTGATTTTATGACCCCTTCAATGGGTCCCAATATATGCAATTTGAAAAAAAAGAATGTGGAATATAAATATGATAATAAAACTACAATTTTCTTTGAAAGTATACATGAGAAAATTAAAACTGATGATAGGATTCACAAACTGTTTACATGAGCTAAGAGTAGGATGGATGGAATTTTGGTAAAAGAAGCTGGGAGCAAAAGACCTTCCAGGAAAATGAGCCAGTAGAAATAGAGCCAGAGAGAAGTTAAGTGCAGACTATACATGCTACAATCTGAGCATTGCTTACAGAGGGATGTTGAGTGCAAAGGCAGGTTGGGACCAAATGGTAGAGCATCTTTATATCCATGCAATAAGGAGGTCAGTCTTCTGTAATCATGAAGGCACACACTGAAGATTCCCAAGCAGGTTAGCAAAAATGCCCTGTCTGTGCTTTAGGGAGATAACCTGGCTTTGATGAGAAGTTTGAAGGAAACAAAGCTAGAGGAGAGAGAAGACCAACTGAGCATTTGTAGATAGAAGAGATGCTGACAACTGCAATGGAAGGAGCCACACAGGACGGTGGCTTTGGAGTAAAAATCTGCAGGGTGCAGCCACGCATTGGACTGGGGAGTGAGAGGCTTGATGACCCTCAGTTCTGTTCTTCAAGTACAGATTCTCAGTGCTACCAGTTGGGGCAAATAGCAATGATGTAGCTATCAAGTCCTTACGATCACAAGCTCTGGTGGGGGAGGGTAGAATGGTGATTGAGAGTGTACACTCTGGGACCAAATTGCCGGGTCTCAAATATCAGTTCTACTGCCAGGTATTTATTTGTCTCTGGGAAATTTACTTAATCTCTGCATACTTTGATTCCCTCCTTTGTAAAATGAGAGTTAAGATTGGTTCAAGATGGCAGAGTAGAAGGACGTGCTCTCATTCCCTCTTACAAGAACACCAGAATCATGACTAACAGCTGAACAATCATTGACAGGAAGACACTGGAACTCACCAAAAAATATACCCCACATCCAAAGACAAAGGAGAAGCCACAATGAGACGGTAGGAGGGGTGCAATCACAATAAAATCAAATCCCATAACTGCTGGGTGGGTGACTCACAAACCGGAGAACACCTATACCACAGAAGTCCACCCGCTGGAGTGAAAGTTCTGAGCGCCACGTCAGGCTTCCCAATCTGGGGGTCCGGCAATGGAAGGAGGAATTCCTAGAGAATCAGACTTTGAAGCCTAGCAGGATTTGATTGCAGGACTTCGACAGGACTGGGGGAAACAGCGACTCCACTCTTGGACGGCACACACAAAGTAGTGTGCACATCGGGACCTAGGAGAAGGAGCAGTGACCCATAGGAGACTGAAGCAGACATACCTGCTAGTGTTGGAGGGTCTCCTGTAGAGGCGGGGGGTGACTGTGTGTCACCATGAGTACAAGGACACTGGCAGGAGAAGTTCTGGGAAGTACTCCTTGGCGTGAGCCCTACCAGAGTCTGCCATTAGCCTCACCAAAGAGGCCCAGTAGGCTCCAGTGTTGGGTCACCTCAGGCCAAACAGCCAACAGGGAGGGAACCCAGCCCCGCCAATCAGCAGACAAGTGGATTAAAGTTTTACTGAGCTCTGCCCACCAAAGCAACAGCCAGCTCTACCCACCACCAGTCCCTCCCATCAGGAAACTTGCACAAGGCTCTTAGATAGCTTCATCCACCAGAGGGCAGACAACAGAAGCAAGAAGAACTACAATCCTGTAGCCTGTGGAACAAAAACCTCATTCACAGAAAGATAGAGAAGATGAAAAGGCAGAGGGCTATGTACCAGATGAAGGAACAAGATAAAACTCCAGAAACACAACTAAATGAAGTGGAGATAGACAACCTTCCAGAAAAAGAATTCAGAATAATGATAGTGAAGATAATCCAGGATCTCGGGAAAAGAATGGAGGCAAAGATCGAGAAGATGCAAGAAATGTTTAACAAAGATCAAGAAGAATTAAAGAACAAACAAACAGAGATGAACAACACAATAACTGAAATGAAAAATACACTAGAAGGAATCAATAACAGAATAACTGAGGCAGAAGAATGGATAAGTGACCTGGAAGACAGAATGGTTGAATTCACTGCTGCAGAACAGAATAAAGAAGAAAGAATGAAAAGAAATGAAGAAAGCCTAAGAGACCTCTGGGACAACATTAAACGCAACAACATTCACATTATAGGGGTCCCAGAAGGAGAAGAGAGAGAGAAAGGACCCGAGAAAATATTTGAAGAGATTATGGTTGAAAACGTCCCTAACATGGGAAAGGAAATAGCCACCCAATTCCAGGAAGTGCAGAGAGTCCCATACAGAATAAACCCAAGGAGAAACATGCCGAGACACATAGTAATCAAATTGGCAAAAATTAAAGACAAAGAAAAATTATTGAAAGCAGCAAGGGAAAAATGACAAAAACATACAAGGGAACTCCCATAAGGTTAACAGCTGATTTCTCAGCAGAAACTTTACAAGCCAGAAGAGAGTGGCATTATATACTTAAAGTGATGAAAAGGAAGAACCTACAACCAAGATTGCTCTACCCAGCAAGGATCTCATTCAGATTCGATGGAGAAATCAAAAGCTTTACAGACAAGCAAAAGCTAAGAGAATTTAGCACCACCAAACCAGCTCTACAACAAGTGCTAAAGGAACTTCTCTAAGTGGGAAACACAAGATAAGAAAAGGACCTACGAAAACAAACCCAAAACAATTAAGAAAATAGTCATAGGAAAATACATATCAATAATTACCTTAAACATGAATGGATTAAATGTTCCACCCAAAAGACACAGGCTCGCTGAATGGATACAAAAACAAGACCCATATATAAATGTCTACAAGAGACCCATTCAGACCTAGGGACACATTCAGACTGAAAGTGAGGGGATGGAAAAAGATATTCCATGCAAATGGAAATCACAAGAAAGCTGGAGTAGCAATACTCATATCAGATAAAATTGACTTTAAAATAAAGAATGTTACAAGAGATGAGCAAGGACACTACATAATGATCAAGGGATCAATCTAAGAAGAAAATATAACAATTATAAATATATATACACCCAACATAGGAGCACCTCAATACATAAGGCAACTGCTAACAGCTCTAAAAGAGGAAATTGACAGTAACACAATAATAGTGGGGGACTTTAACACCTCACTTACACCAATGGACAGATCATCCAGACAGAAAAATAATAAGGAAACACAAGCTTTAAATGACACAATAGACCAGATAGATTTAATTGATATTTATAGGACATTTCATCCAAAAACAGCAGATTACACTTTCTTCTCAAGTGTGCACAGAACCTTCTTCAGGACAGATCACATCTTGGGTCACAAATCAATCCTCAGTAAATTTAAGAAAATTGAAATCATATCAAGCATCTTTTCTGACCACAATGCTATGAGATTAGAAATCAATTACAGGGGAAAAAAACGTAAAAAGCACAACCACATGGAGGCTAAACAATACGTTACTAAATAACCAAGAGATCACTGAAGAAATCAAAGAGGAAATCAAAAAATACCTAGAGAAAAATGACAATGAAAACATGATGATCCAAAACCTATGGGATGCAGCAAAAGCAGTTCTAAGAGGGAAGTTTACAGCTATACAAGCCTACCTCAACAAATGAGAAAAATCTCAAATAAACAATCTAACCTTACACCTAAAGGAACTAGAAAAAGAAGAACAAACAAAACTCAAAGTTAGCAGAAGGAAAGAAATCATAAAGATCAGAGCAGAAATAAATGAAATAGAAAAGAAGAAAACAATAGTAAAGATCAATAAAACTAAAAGCTGGTTCTTTGAGAAGATAAACAAAAATGATAAACCTTTAGCCAGACTCAAGAAAAAGAGGGAGAGGACTCAAATCAATAAAATTAGAAATGAAAAAGGAGAAGTTACAACAGACACCACAGAAATACAAAGCATCCTAAGAGACTACTACAAGCAACTCTATGCCAACAAAATGGACAACCTGGAAAAAATGGACAAATTCTTAGAAAGGTATAACCTTCCAAGACTGAACCAGGAAGAAATAGAAAATATGAACAGATCAATCACAAGTAATGAAACTGAAACTGTCATTAAAAATCTTCTAACGCACAAAAGTCCAGGACCAGATGGCTTCACAGGTGAATTCTATCAGACATTTAGAGAAGAGCTGACACGCATCCTTCTCAAACTCTTCCAAAAAATTTCGGAGGAAGGAACACTCCCAAACTCCTTCTATGAGGCCACCATCACCCTGATACCAAAACCAGACAAAGATGTCACAAAAAAAGAAAATTACAGACCAATATCACTGATGAATATAGATGCAAAAATCCTCAACAAAATACTACCAAACAGAATCCAACAACACATTAAAAGGATCATACACCATGATCAAGTGGGATTTATCCCAGGGATGCAAGGATTTTTCAGTATATGCAAATCAATCAATGTGATACCCCATATTAACAAACTGGAGAAGAAAAACCATATGATCTTCTCAATAGATGCAGAAAAAGCTTTTGACAAAATTTAACACCCATTTATGATAAAAACTCTCCAGAAAATGGGCATAGAGGGAGTCTACCTCTACATAATAAAGGCCATGTATGACAAACCCACAGCAAACATCATTCTCAATGGTGAAAAACTGAAAGCATTTCCTCTAAGATCAGGAACAAGACAAGGTGTCCATTCTCGCCACTATTATTCAACATAGTTTTGGAAGTCCTAGCCACGGCAATCAGAGAAGAAAAAGAAATAAAAGGAATACAATTTGGAAAAGAAGAAGTAAAACTGACACTGTTTGCAGATGCCATGATACTATACATAGAGAATCCTAAAGATGCCACCAGAAAACTACTAGAGCTAATCAATGAATCTGGTAAAGTTGCAGGATACAAAATTAATGCACTGAAATCTCTTGCATTCCTATACACTAATGATGAAAAATCTGAAAGAGAAATTAAGGAAACACTCCCATTTACCATTGCAATGAAAAGAATAAAATACCTAGGAATAAACCTACCTAGGGAGACAAAAGACCTGTATGCAGAAAACTATAAGACACTGATGAAAGAAATTAAAGATGATACCAACAAATGGAGAGATATTCCATGTTCTTGGATTGGAAGAATCAATACTGTGAAAATGACTCTACTACCCAAAGCAATCTACAGATTCAATGCAATCCCTATCAAATTACCAATGGCATTTTTTACAGAACTGGAACAAAAAAATCTTAAAATTTGTATGGAGACACAAAAGACCCCAAATAGTCAAAGCAGCCTTGAGGGAAAAAAATGGAACAGGAGGAATCAGATTCCCTGACTTCAGACTATACTACAAAGCTACAAAAATCAAGACAATATGGTACTGGCACAAAAACAGAAATATAGATCAATGGAACAGGATAGAAAGCCTAGAGATAAACCCATGCATCTATGGTCAACTAATCTATGACAAAGGAGGCAAGGATATACAATGGAGAAAAGATAGTCTCTTCAATAAGTGGTGCTGGGAAAACTGGACAGCTACATGTAAAAGAATGAAATTAGAACACTCCCTAACACCATACACAAAAATAAACTCAAAATGGGTTAGAGACCTAAATATAAGACCAGACACTATAAAACTCTTAGAGGAAAACATCGGAAGAACACTCTTTGACATAAATCACAGCAAGATCTTTTTTGACCCACCTCCTAGAGTAATGGAAATAAAAACAAAAATAAACAAGTGGGACCTAATGAAACTTAAAACCTTTGGCAACGCCAAGGAAACTACAAACAAGATGAAATGACAACCCTCAGAAAGGGAAAAAATATTTGCAAATGAATCAATGGACAAAGGCTTAATCTCCAAAATATATAAACAGTTCACTCAGCTCAATATTAAAAAAACAAACAACCCAATCAGAAAATGGGCAGAAGGCCTAAATAGACATTTCTTCAAAGAGGACATACAGATGGCCAAGAAGCACATGAAAAGCTGCTCAACATCACTAATTACCAGAGAAATGTATATCAAAACTACAATGAGGTATCACATCACACCAGTTAGAATGGGCATCATCAGAAAATCTACAAACAACAAATACTGGAGAGGGTGTGGAGAAAAGGGAACCCTCTTGCACTGTTGGTGGGAATGTAAATTGATACAGCCAATATGGAGAACAGTATGGAGGTTCCTTAAAAAAACTAAACATAGAACTACCATACGACCCAGCAATCCCAGTACTGGGCATATACCCTGAGAAAACCATAATTCAAAAAGACACATGCACTCCAATGTTCAGTGCTGCGCCGTTTACAGTAGCCAGGTCATGGAAGCAACCTAAATGCCCATAGACAGAAGAATGGATAAAGAAGATGTGGTACATACATACAATGGAATATTACTCAGCCAATAAAGGAATGAAATTGAGCCATTTGTTAGAGACGTGGATGAATCTAGAGACTGTCATACAGAGTGAAGTAAGTCAGAAAGAGAAAAACAAATATTGTATATAAATGCATATCTGTGGAACCTAGAAAAATGGTACAGATGAACTGGTTTGCAGGGCAGAAATAGAGACACAGATGTAGAGAACAAACATATGGACACCAAGGGGGGAAAGCAGCGGGGGGTGGGGGGTGGTGGTCTAATGAATTGGGAGATTGGGATTGACATGTATACACTGATGTGTATAAAATGGATGACTAACAAGAACTTGCTGTATAAAAAAATAAATAAAATAAAATTCAAAAGAAAAGAAAATGAGAGTTAAAAATTATCTTCAAAGGCATATTGTGAATATTAGCTCAGAAGAGTAAAGAACTCAGAATAATGTGGGCTCTTGAAACTCTACTTTCCGGACTGATTTATCTCCTCACCACTGATAGTCTTAATTCTCATTTGCATATCTTTGCTAAAATGGTGTTTATACAGTTTACTTGTTTTTTTTTTTTCTATTTTTGCAAATTCTTAAAGTTCTAAAGTTTTCCCTACAATGCTTTTCTGACTGCCCTCACAGTGCTCACAATGGTCTTTTCTGCTTCTGAGTCTTAGTGGCTTCACAGCACAGATGTATCTGTCTTATTTGTTATGTAACTGTCTTACATTGTTGAATATTTTTACAGCACTTTTCTCCCTGTCCCCCAAACCATCCTATGCATAGAAGGAAAGGTGTAGTAGGGTGAAGCAGATTACAAAGTTGTGATCTATATGCATTTCCTTACCTGATCCCGCAATGCTGGTGAGCTTGCTTCGTTCAAGTGGGGGAGCCCATTTTGCCCAAATTGTAAACTGACCTGTCCATGCCATTCCCTGAAATGAAAATCATTAAGACTCTTGATCTCTAGTAGAATTCAGGAATCCATATCCCACACAGAATGAGAAAGTAACCGGCTACCTGGGCCATGCCCTGGACTGTCCGAATCACAATAACCAGAATCACTCCAAAGTCAGCAGCCAGTGGTGTAAAGAGGGTGAGAAGGGAGGAGATCAGCAAACCAGCACCAAGCATCTGCTTTGCTCCAAATATCCCTGCTAAATAGCCACTTGGGATCAGAGTCAGTATTATCCCATAGCTGATGGAGCTAAAGATGATACCCTGAGTCTCTGGGCTCCATTCATATACAGAGGCCTGGGGGGAAAAAAAGGAAAATTCTTTGCTAAGAATTTCTTTTATAAAAATTCTAATTTATAGCCAGAGCTGCTTGGGGTTTTGACCCTCCTATAAAATATCAATTTTGGCTTTCCTCCATTTTTTACCAAACAAATATTCCACCTTTTCCAAACAACCAATTATATCTCTAATTTGCTCCTCTCAGAGAGAGAAAAAAATAGAGAAATGAAGAAGAAAAGGAAAAAAAATAGAGAAGTGAAGAAGAAAAGAGATAAAGAAATGATTACATAGGTAGTTGATAGGAAGATATAAATGAAATATAGTGAAAGAGCTTCTTTTAACTATCTTGGTTCTAGTAAATAATTCAGGTGACATGCTGACTCTCATTTTAAAAAATAAGGAAAACACATCTTTACTGAATGCTTATCAAAATTAGTCCCTAAAATCAAGTTTAGGAATCATGGTCTGCCCTGGCAGAGGTGACTTCCTAAAACACATATTACACATTAATAAGATCACATTTTCTTCTGATGTAACCCAATAAATAATTTTGGTAGACCACTAGATACATGGCATCATGGTATACATTGAAGTAAAGAGTCAAAAAATGTAAAATATGAAATATTTTGTCCACTTAAAATAACTATAAATAATACAAGATATATGACTCATGTCAGAATTCAAGTTTGAGGATGAACGGCAGTAAAATAGGGACTTTAAGAAGAGGGAAGAACAATTTGGGAAGGTCCCAGGAAGGAAGAAGTACTTGAACCATTCTTTGAAGAATACCTATGATTTGTGTAAAGAGAAATAGGAAAACTCATTCTTATTGAAGAAAAACAGCAAAAGTGGACTTGCAGTGTTTGGAGTGATACCCAGTGAAACTAACCGGGACTCTAACTTGCTCAGAGCAAAGACTCTCCCTGGGTCATTGATAGCAGACAGGAGTGTGCTGAGAAGTGGGCGCAGGTTCTGGAGAAGTACAGCATCTCAAGAGAGGAGTTTGCGACTTGAAGGTATTCTGGATTCTTGAGCACAGGTGTGTGAATGTGTAGAATGAATGATGGAAGAAAGACTGGAGACGGAGAGGTCATTGTAAATAAGCTGGCTCCGAGGTAACAAAATCATAAAATATGAGGATGACTTTAGAAATGTAAGATAAATGTTAGTTTAAAGAAAAAATTTAAATGGGTTATAACCATGATCCTTATACAAATAAAAAATGAACATGTAATAAAGATTTTATTTAACTCATTGATTAATGGGGGAATTGGTAAGATGTTACAACTGGCCCAAAGGAGAATTCAAAGACCCACACATTTATAAGTGGGAAGTAATGCTGAAATAGATTTTAAATATATAGCAAAACTGGCTTATTTAACTGAGAGGCAAGTGGAGGAGAGTAGCAATTGATTTTTCTCAGAACAAAATTCATTTGCAGAGCTATGGGCAAGAATCATTTGCATTACTATTTATTATATAGAACTTACTGAGTTGTAAAATGGCTCAAAGACTATGAAAAGTACAGAGACCTGCTTAAAATCAGGCAGAAGGATGTGCTTAGATACATCCTAGTGCCTAGTTTTTCATTGAAGATACCCAGTAATCTATTCCTTTCTAGAAGTGTTCACAATTTTTTCCTAGAGTCCCTACCCCCAACCTTGTAATCATAATAATCTCAGTGAGACTATTTTAATCACAGAGGTAAGCAATATCTCAAAGAAAAATACTTCCAGTCCTTTTTAGTTTGCCACTGAAAATTCATGCTTCTATATGCCACAGAATCAAGATACAATTCTTCCTTTCAAACTGGGTTTTCCCTCTCAACAAAGAGCCTTGTTCTCCATTATACTTACTCCCGAATTAAACTCCTTGGTGGATCTGTTGGAGTGATTGAGGGTGAATGCAAGAGGTCTTTCTGTGGAGGCATTGAATAAACCAGGCTGCTGAGTGCTATTCACCATGGCAATGATTGCAATGCTCAGACTCACACGCTGGGTTATCACGGTAAAGTTTGAGAAGTGCATGATGAGAGCCAGTCCATAGCGTAATGAACAGAATTCAGGAACTAGGGAATAACACAGATGTCTGCAGTGAGTATACTGACTGAGATCACCTTCTTTCCATTTCTCCCACTGCTAAGTCTGAGAAAACTACAGATGATTTCATGCAGTCCCACTATCTTTTTTCACCGAAATAATCGTAACTACAACCCTTCTTTGTCATATTCTTTAGTTGGCTTCAAGACAATAAATCGGGGATCTTACCATAAAGTAAAACAAATACGGCCTTTTTTCAGAGGTGTGGGAAGCAGATGAAAATATAAGAAAAATTAAATGAAGGCATTTATGTCACATTGTTCCAAAATAAAGTGCATGAGGAAGATGGGGAAGAGCCAGTCACAGAACCTGAGTCTCCTAGTTTCAAGTCTGTGGTCCCATCTGTTTTGCATATTCATCTACCATAAAGCTTGGAAGTTTATACTTAGAGAGCTGCCTTTGAATTAAGCTAACGTCCAAAGGTTCTCTTTTATTTATTTATTTTTGTTTTTTTTAATTCATGCTCATGCCTAATTCGAAATTTTCTGCTATTTCTTTTTTTTTCTTTTGAAGATGTTGGGGGTAGGAGTTTTTTAATTAATTAATTAATTTTTGCTGTGTTGGGTCTTCTTTTCTGTGTGAGGGCTTTCTCTAGTTGCTGCAAGCGGGGGCCACTCTTCATCACGGTGCGCGGGCCTCTCACTATCACGGCCTCTCTTGTTGTGGAGCACAGGCTCCAGACGCGCAAGCTCAGTAGTTGTGGCTCACGGGCCTAGTTGCTCCGCGGCATGTGAGATCCTCCCAGACCAGGGCTCGAACCCATGTCCCCTGCATTAGCAGGCAGATTCTCAACCACTGCGCCACCGGGGAAGCCCCAAGGGCTCTCTTTTAAAATACCTGATATATACTGTATAAATGAGCGCAACCACTAACTCCTTAGTGTAATGTTCACTTGGAAGTATTTTTGTTGTATGTCACTAGGCTCTGCCTTCACATATATTCAGCTTAAAAAAAAACTAATATGGGGAACCATTTTTACTGTTTGTAGGTGATACGGTACTGGAGGAACTGTCATTCTGTTACAAGAGCAACACATTCTTTTAGGTCCCTGTGAAGTGGAACAATGGGCCTATATTGAAAGGGTTCCCATGTGAATGATGGATTAAATTTTTTTGCACATTTGGAGAAATGGGACTAAAGAGAAACAAAGAGAGAACCTGTGAATAAACAGATAAACATATAAAAATATATATATAATGGGAGAAATAATTTTTAATGGCCAAATAGGCTCAGGGATGAGATTTGGTTGCCTGCAAAAGAATTATTTCCCTATTACTGGAGGTTTCCAAAGCTCATGGGAAATAACCAGCTACATAGCAAAGATATTGTAGCAGGAACTCATATATGGGTTAGGGGTTTGTTTAAAATGACTTTTTCTGGACTCCTTCCATTCCTTATGTCCTGGGATTCAGTGATCATTTGACGTAATTTCTCATAGATACCTCATTGGGGCTCCCTAAGGAAAAAGTAGCAGGTAACAGAATGAGGGGCTGGATCTGGTCCAATGTTACACTGGGAGAATCTCCACAACAGGGAGGCTTGATAAAAAACAAAGGAGAAGGAATGGAGAACGAGGATGTGGAAATAAAACTTCCACTCTTCCATAAGGTAGCCTGCAAATACAAGACGTGACTTGGGACTTCCCTGGTGGTCCAGTGGTTAAGACTCCATGCTCCCGATGCAGGGGGGCCCAGGTTCGATCCCTGGTCAGGGAACTAGAGTCCGCATGCCGCAACTAAAGGTCTTGAGTGCCGCAACTAAGACCCGGTGCAGCCAAATAAATAAATTTTAAAGAAAAAGAGAGAGAGAGAGAGAGAGAGAGAGAGAGAGAGAGAGAGAGATGTGGCTTTACCTTTCCTGGTGGAAGGCTTCTCATCCATTTGGCTCCTCTGGGAAATGGTACCACACTTTGTGGGGGAGATTCCCTCTGCCCTGAATCTCTTTTACCACGACGGGCTTTTATCTATGGGGAAGAAGAACAATCCAAAACAAGACACACAAATAATTTTCTCGTGTTAATGTTGCATTCTCTCATCATCAATGAAAGTTTTGACCCAACACAGGTATATGATTTACATTTTGCAGTACGCTTCCTTATTGCTATGCTTACGGAGGACTCTATTTTTATAAGAAATCTGACTAAGTCCCAGCTAAGTGACGTAGAGCTAATCATTTAAATTCTCTAATTGGCCATTTCCTTGTCTGTTCAATAAAAATAAATCTCCTTTCTGAGTGGTGCTGGAAGAACTGAATGAAAAAATTGCAAACCACAGAGAACCATGCAAAGGTAAGGCATATTATGGCTTGAAGCAAGGTCAGAAGACAGGAAAATTAAGCCCAAGAGCTGGGGAGGAAAGTTCCAGAGCAGCCCTTTCTTTCATTTTGACCATGTTTCTGTACATCTTTCTGTACAACCAGAACAACGTCCCATGGTTCCTTCTTTGAACATGAAGAATGACATTGCATAACACACATATATATAATACTAATAGTATTTAATGGTTTAAAATGTTTATTCTTGTCTTTGCTAACACAATTTGGACACTTTACTGGGCTGAAAAGTTCTTCAAATCACCTGAATGAGGGCTTTCTACTATAATTATGAATAAATCCAGCTACTTGATAGGTAAAGAGAATTCATGACCTCGAAATGGACATGTCTAATTTGATACCTGTACCCCAATATTTGGGGATTCATACATTTATTTCTTTTAGGTACAATCCTCATGCTAAGGATATAAGTTTTGCAGTCATTCCTAAACTGAAGCGTCCATGACCTCACAAACACTTGTCTCATGCTTATACTGCATCATCCGAAGCTTTGCATTCTTTCTGCGCATACATTTAACAAGACTTACCTGCACACTTAAGAATGGAGGATGGAGGATCATAATGAAAGAGACAGGTGAAGAATTTTGTTCAAAAATATTCTTTGCAGTATTATTACAACATAATATTGGAGACAAATTAACCTAACCATAAGGGTTTGGTGAGTCAATTTTAATAGATTCTTATAGTGGACTTTATTAAAATAATGTTTTCAAAGATATGGAATAATATTAAGGAAATGCCTGTACTCTAGTATGCAAAACAAGCACTATGCCTGTGTTGATACTCGCACATCCAAGAAGAGAGAAATGGATTCACACAAGTGCCAGCAATGGCTATTTCTGGGTTGCAGAACACACTGTGGTCACGTAATTCTTTATGATTTTCCATGTCTATCAAGTGATTTTTTTAAACAATTAGTAGTTATTTTATACTCAGTGTCTTTGAAGGAACAATAATTAGGCTTCATAAAGCCAGTCAGCGTAGTTTTCTGCTTGCCAAATGGCTCTAGAATTCTGAGAACAAGGTCACCCCATCTGAGTTTTGAAATTTTCTTTTTTTGTTACAATGTACCCAAATAGATGCCCAGTTGCCAACAAGAGAATGTCAGCACCAGGAAACATGTTGGCTTTTGCTGTGCTTTTTTTAAAACATCTTTACTGGAGTATAATTGCTTTACAATGGTGTGTTAGTTTCTGCTTTATAACAAAGTGAATCAGCTATACATATACATATATCCCCATATCACCTCCCTCTTGCATCTCCTTCCCACCCTCCCTATCCCACACCTCTAGGTGGTCACAAAGCACTGAGCTGATCTCCCTGTGCTATGTGGCTGCTTCCCACTAGCTATCTATTTTATATTTGGTAGTGTATATATGTCAATGCTACTCTCTCACTTCGTCCCATCTTACACTTCCTCCTCCCCGTGTCCTCAAGTCCATTCTCTACGGCTGCCTCTTTATTCCTGTCCTGCCCCTACATTCTTCAGAACCATTTTTTCTTTTTTAGATTCCTTATATATGTGTTAGCACATGGTATTTGTTTTTCTTTATCTGACTTACTTCACTCTGTATGACAGACTCTAGGTCCACCCACCTCACTACAAATAACTCAATTTCGTTTCTTTTCATGGCTGAGTAATATTCCATTGTATATATGTGCCACATCTTCTTTATCCATTCATCTGTTGATGGACACTTAGGTTGCTTCCATGTCCTGGCTATTGTAAATAGAGCTGCAATGAACATTGTGGTACATGACTCCTTTTGAATTATGGTTTTCTCAGGGTATATGCCCAGTAGTGGGATTGCTGGGTCGTATGGTAGTTCTATTTTTAGTTTTTTAAGGAACGTCCATACTGTTCTCCATAGTGGCTGTATCAATTTACATTCCCACCAACAGTGCAAGAGGGTTCCCTTGCACTGTGGAGGTTTCTCCACACCCTCTCCAGCATTTATTGTTTGTCGATTTTTTGATGATAGCCATTCTGACTGGTGTGAGGTGATACCTCATTGTAGTTTTTATTTTATTTATTTTTTACATCTTTATTGGAGTATAATTGCTTTACAATGGTGTGTTAGTTTCTGCTTTATCACAAAGTGAATCAGCTATACATATACATATATCCCCATATCTCTTCCCTCTTGCATTTCCCACCCTCCCACCCTCCCTGTCCCACCCTTCTAGGTGGTCACAAAGCACTGAGCTGATCTACCTGTGCTATCCAGGACATGGAAGCAACCTAAATGTCCATCAACAGATGAATGGATAAAGAAGATGTGGCTCATTGTAGTTTTGATTTGCATTTCTCTAACGATTAGTGAGAAATCATTAATGATGTTGAGCATCCTTTCATGTGTTTGTTGGCACTCTGTATATCTTCTTTGGAGAAATGTCTATTTAGGTCTTCTGCCCATTTTTGGATTGGGTTGTTTGTTTTTTGATATTGAGCTGCATGAGCTGCTTGTAAATTTTGGAGATTAATCCTTTGTCAGTTGCTTCATTTGCAAATATTTTCTCCCATTCTGAGGGTTGTCTTTTCGTCTTTTTTATGGTTTCCTTTGCTGTGCAAAGCTTTTAAGTTCCATTTGTTCCCATTTGTTTATTTTTGCTTTTATTTCCATTTCTCTAGGAGGTAGGTCAAAAAGTTTTGCTGTGCTTTGGAAGGCTTTCCAGTCCTGCTAACATCTGGATGATATCAGGAGTTCAGTTCAGGGCTCTACACTCAGATCTTAGCTGACCCGGAGTTTGGACCATTTTCTATTTGATCTCTCTTGTTATGTAAGATCCCAAGACTTGGCAGAAGGCAATTTTTCAACTGTATACTCAGCTACAAGTACTTGTACTCCACTGAAAGGTTTCCCACCAACTTCTCCAACCAATCTGACAAACATTGGGCTCTAGAGCTGAAAGAGACTTGGAGATTCTCTGACCCAACTGTTCTTTTTTTTTTTTGATGAGGAGATTGATGTGCAGAATGCTTGAAAAGTTGCTTTGAGTCACAGAGTATACTGAGTCAGCACCAGGTCTCCCCATGCCCAGACTACTGCTTTTTTCTATCTATTAATACTACTTCCTCTTTATGGGCATATTTTAAGCACAAGCTTAAAATACAATTGGGTAGTTTCATTTTAAGGTATTCCAGATAGGAATTTATATGATTTTAAGTTAAGGTTTTTTTTAAAAAATTGAAGTATAGTTGATTTACAATATTATATTAGTTTCAGGTGTACAGCATAGTGATTCAGTATTTTTGCAGATTATACTCCATTCTAAGTTATTACAAGATAATTGCCATAATTCCCTCTGCTCTACAGTATATCCTTGTTGCTTATCTATGATTTTAAATTAAGTTTTAATCATTTATTCCAGAAGGAAATTTGATGATGAAAATACTTTCAGGTTGAGCTTTGAATATTTAAAAAAAAAAAAGACTACTCTTTCTTGCTTGTTTTTTTTGGCGGTATGTCGGCCTCTCAGTGTTGTGGCCTCTCCCGTTGCGGAGCACAGGTTCCGGACGCGCAGGCCCAGCGGCCATGGTTCACTGGCCCAGCCGCTCCGCGGCATGTGGGATCTTCCCGGACCGGGGCACGAACCCCTGTCCTCTAGCATCGGCAGGCGGACTCTCAACCACTGCGCCACCAGGGAAGCCCTTTCTTGCTTTTTTGATTAGTGGAATTATATCACAAACCCATCCCTTCAGTTCCCATTCCATATGCTGCCATCCCTACCTTGGCTTTCATTGTTTCAAATGCTACTTTGAAATTTGCCTTAATAGCTAACTTCAGTTGTTAATTGCCCTGTTTCCTGTGTATGAGACAAATGCGGAAATCAGGCAGACATCCCAAACCAATCGGAAAGAGGGTCCTTCTGTGACATAGTAATGGCAACTATTTTTCTAAAATAATCACAGAATCATATGATAGTATGTGATCTGAGAACTGGCACAATTGATATCACTTAGAGACAGTGGAATGAGTTTTAGCCCAATTACAAACATTGTCAAGGACCTTCCTACTCAGGAGTGACATTTCTAAAAAATAGTGAATCCTAGTGTCAAAACTGTAAATAGGGGCTTCCCTGGTGGCGCAGTGGTTGAGAGTCCGCCTGCCGATGCGGGGGACACGGGTTCGTGCCCCGGTCCGGGAAGATCCCACATGCCGTGGAGCGGCTGGGCCCGTGAGCCATGGCCGCTGAGCCTGCGCGTCCGGAGCCTGTGCTCCGTAACGGGAGAGGCCACAACAGTGAAAGGCCCACGTACCGCAAAACAAAAAACAAACCTGTAAATAGACATGGAAAAAATGAATTAAAATTAAGTAAAATAAAAATTCTATACCTTAAAAATAATTTTATGACACAAAATAGAGTTATATTTGGTATAAAAATAATATAGACATAGACAAGATGACATGCATAAGCAAAATAATTTTTATCCTCTTACTATTAGTCTAGAACTCACAATTTTGTTATAATGGTCTTTCTGTTGCTCTTAGATTTCCCTTAATACTGAGCCTGTCTTGCATCACCTCTGTTAGCCGAGTCCCCTAGTTTACTCAAAGTAAATGTTACATGTGGTTGAAAGAGCAGGAACCTGCAGGTCAAAGGGTATCCAAGGACCAATTCTTCTCTGTC